TAATTTAAATGAATATTTTCGAAGATATTACAGACTTAAAATGCAAACATAGCGGTTGCGGTGGTACCGACCGGGAGGCCGGTTTGTATTGTCTAATGACAAAAAAACTGTGAATGTTGTATATAAAGACATTCTGTAGTATATTTAATGTGTTCAGGGGTTGTCTATTTAAGATTTCCCCTCTCGATAATAATCTAAACAAAACAAAAATATATTTAGTATCAGCATTATACTCGTGCGAAGCTGGGGCGGGTCGCTAGTACCAATATAAACTGACTGAAATCTATCTTTTTTCCAGCCACCCCATATTGATCCAATTAGAAACCGTCACCTTTCTCCCCAACAACAGAGTCACATCCTCAGCGATATTCAACAGCATCAGCACAGATTTAGTTTTGCAAATGAACCATCTCCAGCAGCACAGCCACAAGTCAATCCCACCCCCAACTGGCAATCCTTTCCACCCTATTCCGAATTCGGCTCACCCAGTGCCAACAAACCAGTGATCGCTGATGAATTCGCAAATTTCGACCCTTACACATTCAATTTCCGTACGGAGAAACCAGATCCAGAAAAAGAGAAACAAAAGCTGAAGGAACAAAAGGAAAAGCAAGCAATTATAGAAAAACATAATCAATTTGTCGAAAGGCAGTACGAGAAAGCTTTAAAAAAGGCGCAAGAAGACCATGAAGAGTTTTTACGAAAGCAGAGAGATCAAAGGAGGAAATTAAATCAGAAGTTCCAAAAAATAAGGAGCAATTCGCCGATATTTAGCCAAAATGGTCCCAGATTCCTGTATCCAGAGGAGACCCCTCTTTTCGAAAAAGCAGTCCAGAAATATTACGAAGAGCATCCAACAACTACTACTACAACCACAACCACCACAACAACAGAAAGACCTGAATCTTTAGAAGATGATGACGATGACAATTTCGACATCAAATCAAAATCGAAAGACGAATCCTTATTACAAGGTAGTAACTCTGACACTCTCAAAAAGCTACAAATCCAGGACAAAAAGACCAACGATCTTTCTGGATCTCAGGAACAAACAGCTTCATCAAATACAGTGAGGTACATACAAAGCATCGACGACTTGGAATCCTTGAAGCAACAGTACAAAAATCAGCAGATCAATAAGGACGACATTCTTTCACAAATCCGCCTGGCAATCGGCGGAAATCCTGAAGATGCTTTCGAAAAGAATGCAACCACCAGAGAGATCTCGCTACCCGGTGGCGAAAAAGTTCAAATATTTAAAACAACAAACCCAAACCTTTTACAATCAGGATCATTAGACGGATTCTTACTACAACCAACGACGACAACAACAACTACCACCACAACAACAAACAGACCTCCGTCCGAAATACTCCAAGAACTCACAAAAGGTGTACTTCCACCTGGTGTAAATTACGACCTCCTTAAACCGGGAGAAAATGGCAACCTCGAAAAGATTAGCAATCCAGGAAACCTACCCGGCGAAAGAAAAATAACTTTCGTACTTTTAGAAGAACAAGACGACGGCAGTTTTAAGGTTCAAGGAGTTAAAGGCGGAGAAAAGGAAAGCGTAGATGTGGATTCTGTGTTGAAGAAAATTAAAGAAGGAGAAATTAAAATACCACAGCCTTCAAGACCTCCTACACCACCTCCTACTAGAACCACAACCGTTCCAACCACCAGAAGAACAACAACTAGTCAACCAATCACTTCTACTCAAAGGCCAACACTTCCAACTATTGACAATATTAGGTTTACCAATCCACAGATATCCGTACTACCAAACTCTTTTGCCCAATCTGCCAATGACGAAGTTTCCTCGTTATTAATTCCCTCGAGTAGTAGCATCCCTCAACAGATCTACACAACAACACCGAAGCCTTCCCCAACCACTATCCTTTATAACACGTACCCAAGTACCTCAAGGGAATCGGTATCTCCATTACTCTCCCAAACTTATTCGAATTCACCAGAAATTCTAGTTCGAAGTAATTCCAACTCGTATCAAGACCTACAACAAGGCGCTTCGATAGCATCTCCTCTAAATCCCCATATTTCGCAAGAACATGCATTTCGAATCTCGTCGACCTCTCCCCCAGAAATATTAGACTCCGTTTCGCAAGAAAAGCCACCTTCCTTCAAGCGCCAAAGTGTCCATGCAGAACAGGAAACTACAGAAGGCAATGTGGAACAACCTAAACCACCAACTGCTCCAGATTTTCCAGATATCCTGAAGAAGCATGCGCTACATGCAATGGCGCGGTTTTTGAAACAGTCAGGATTAGACACTATCCTTAACGAAACAGGACCTTACACTGTTTTCGTGCCCAGCGATAAGGCTTTCAAGCAGTTGCTGATTCAACTAGGGGGACCAGAAAAAGCTGAAGAAAAATTCAAGGAAAATCCACGACTTTTAAGTGGCGTAAGTTAAAAAGGAATTAAATGTCCTCTCTCCGTTATTGACAAATAAAATTTCTTGCAGTTACTATTACATCACGTTATACCTGGAGCGTTTACGTTAGAGTCCTTGCAGGACGAAATGACGGGTGTGTCTTTAGCGGGAACTCAGTTGAGAGTCAATCAATACAACATGCATGATGATGAATGGAATGATATTAAAGTAAGACAAATAAAAAATAACGTTATAAAAAATATCAAAAGAAATCAATATTTTAAAGTATAGTAACAATGAATTTGTTGTTATTTCGAACTATAAAATGTTTGCTGTTTGCTAATTTAGGTGACAACTATCAACGGTGCCCAACTTCTTGATGATAAAAAGAACATCGAAATTCCTCAAGGAGTCGCTCATGCAATCGACAAAGTTATGTTTCCCCTTCCTGTAGGAGATTTAATACAAACTCTCCAATCTGATCGGGAAAAAAGATTTACGCAATTTCTGAAAGCTCTGTTTGCCTCCAATGTTGCGGAAACCCTTCAAGGTATGTAATAGAATATTTTTTCAATTAAAAATTGTATTTCGGCAAATTCTGCCAAATTTAATAGCCATTTAGACGAGCCTAAACCGTTCTGATTCTCATATTTTCCGGGAATCAGTTCTCAAACAAAGAAAAAGGAATCTCCAAGAACAAGATGGACCATGTCGAGTATCATTATGAAGGACGTTAGATGTTCTCATTTCTTTTCAATTTAAAAATTCTATAGGTACAGCACGCGAGTAGTACGTCTAGTATCATTAGTGTCGCCTAAGTTTTATCTCCGCTTAAAGCGTCGTAATTGTTGCCACTAGGCTGTTAAAAAGGACGTCTCCGTAAAAGTGGAACATGTTCACGGTGTGTAGAAAGGACGTTAGAATGCAGTCGCATAACTACGCATTAAAACATAGGCCAAGTATTTTTAAATACGTTTATTACCGACACGCAACTCGTTTCATCTTACAAGGAAGGAAATTAAAATTTATTTCCTTTTCTGTTTGAGAACGATTAACGACAATTTAATTGAACTCTTTTAAACGTTTAATTGATGCGTTTAATTTAAAATAGATAAACAGTAAGGATAGATAAAATTACTTGAGGAAGGGTTCAATGGCGTACACTCAAACGACATTAATAAAGACCTATTTCTAAGAAAGTACCATATAAGTATACTATAAGGAAATATAAGTTTGTAAAAATCTACACTACAATAAATTATCTATTTCTTGTATGGGTTAACATTGATGGTAACCGCATCTAAATCGGTGTATTTCCCTTCTTAAATTCACAGAATGACGCCTAATATTGTTTACTTCCGCACAAGGGGATTCCCAAAAGTACAAGTGCACTTACCTTGGCCTAGTTTTTAACCGCTAAAAGAATGAGGGTCAATAAAGTAGCTAATAATCAATTACTTCGAGTCAATTTTAACTGAAAGCCCATGATGCTAACATGGGGTATACTTTATTGCATCAAATCTTGTAATTATTACTTTGTAATAGATTAACTATTTGTGGTTTTACAACACTACGATCATCTTTTTCTCTAAATTGTTTACTTCTACTCCGAAATATTTCATTGAAATTTATTTGAAATAATAAATTTAATCGGCAGGAAAAGGTTGAGTAATGTTTAGGTATGACATTAATGTTGGTAGAGGAAATGCCATAAACTTTCCTAAAGAGAAATTAACTTTATATGAATGTCTATTACAATCAGTATTCAGTATTTATTAGCGAGATTAATTACACAGGTATTATGGTATATTTTCCGCTATTAAATATACTCGTCGTCACACCAACTGTATTAAGTAGCAAAACTTCGAATCATAACTTATAAGGGTGTACATTGTTTAATAAATTAATATAATTGAAGAACAAACAGAAAAGCTCAAAACCCCAACGCCAAAACACGACACTGTAGTTGTTCGTTTGGGGTTTTGAGCTATTCTGTTTGTTCTACAACAACCGCCAAAGTTTTTCCAATCTTCATATTTTATATAATTGACTTGAAAGAAAATGTAATTTTTTAATTGTTTTCTCAAAATCTACAAAATAACTCTGAAATTTAATCTTTGATTGTTGCTTTTTACATTGTAACTATGCCACAATCTTTATTTGAAATGTAATGTTGATTTTTTTTTTTTGATAGGTACAAAAACATATACAGTTTTTGCCCCAACGGACAAAGCTCTCGCCACGTTACCTCCAGAAGAAGTTAACAGAATAGTGACAGATAAAAATTTGTCTAAAGAATTTGTTTTACGACATATAATACCGGGAAGTTTATTCACGCACGGTATGAGATACTATCAAGTCAAAGACAGTCTTCTGCCGGACAAACAAATCACGATTACGAAAAGTTCTGGTAAGTTATTTTGACTAGATTTTTATAAACAGTATCTACATGTTAGGGGCAAAATTAAAAGAAAGAATTAAAATTTTGAGCAACGTACAGACTCCGGAAATCGGAACAGATAATGTCAATTAAACTTTAACATCGACTGAAACGAATATGTGATATGATAACATGATGATAGGTTAACAGTAGATTATCCGACTTCCCGGGAACAAAAGGCTCTACAATTCTTCTTTCTTTCCCTGCAAATTTGGTACAAAATATGATATCAATTAGAGTCCATGGTTGATTGAAATGAATATGTGTGATCTACTAAAATGATACCACGCTAGCAGATTATCCAATTTCTTGAGATTTATAGGTTCTACAAAATTAATTATTTCACTACAAATTATTCGTATGTTTCGATGCCAGGGTTGAATATGTAATATGCTACCGTGATACACATAATTACAACTAAAGTTTGTTCTATTTGATGTTACTCTTTCTGCGACATAAGTTTAAACAGCTGGAAATAAAAATGTGTAGGTCTGAAAAAAAAAGGAAAACCATATTTCTAAGATATAGAAGGGTGTTGCTAAATGTTATTCTACTTCACGTACAAATGTCACATAATGTTAACTGGTTAGAAAATATTTGATTACATTTCACTTTTTAATTGCCAAGACGCAGACATACCTAGATGAATTCATTATGTGACATAAGTATTATATTATTTATCGACGTTTACTGAAGGAGGATACCTAGTAAAGAAAATCTACATACAATTAGTGGGTCGAAGATGAAAGTATTGCGCGAAACCACATTACCTCGTGCAATACCTTCAAGACAACGCGCTGGACTTTACTTGACGTGTTTATTTCTTACACAAACAGTAAGTGAAAGGTAAATGCAGCGAGTGGAGAGATAATATGAGCACAACTTGTACTTTCATCTTTCGCTCGTCTCTCGCAATACAACATCCGCAGTGGATTTATCAATTAACCCATCACACATACAAACGAAGAGCGCCTTGTTTGGTGCAATTAGATGAAGCGAAAATCGCCAACCGCTTTCGCAATCACGTAAATTCCCGCGCACGATAATTAACCAGTGCGAAATAACTCGAAATTACGTATAATAAATGTGAGAAATCGTTTAGAGGTACTTTTACTTTGTTTTGACATGAAGAAAATTCAATTTGAACATTCGTAACAATTTCTTTATTGTTTCGAATTGTAATGAAGGGTCAAAATACCTATTTCTGTTTTCTTCCCCAAAGACCGCATTCCAAATCTTAATTTCTATTTACGTTTAGATAGTTTTTAAGCCTAATTTCTATTTTGATACATACTACAAAAGATCAGTTTCATCACAGTCGAGTCTATAATAAGTTAATAGTTAGTTATCTCATCACAGTGTTTTTATAAATTAAAAACAGAATCCTGATTGGATAATAAATCCAATTTAACTTAACTCCAATGGAAGCTTTTGGCCATTGTCACGTAATACTTTTTTATAATTTTTAGTTTTTACGAAATATTTCAGCTACTTCATACGAAATTATTAATAAGCATAAGAAAGACTTTTCAAAATATCAGTAGCTTGTTATGTAATGCTACTTAACACAAATTCTATATATAGGTACAATAGCATTATCCTACATGAATATTGTCACCTTAGAAACCAAATTACCCCAATAAACTCTGGGTAAACAATTTTAATGATAGACAAAGGCAAAATATTATTTTAGGAACAATTCTTCGGCATTTCAAATACATTTTTCAGAATATAAAATTTAGTATTTAAAATAAAAAACTGTTCTGACTTTACCCCGATTTATTTAGTTTGAAATCCAAAATTTACGTGAATATTTTTATGCAGTTTCCTTGAATATTAATACAACAATTTCTAAAATATTCATATACACTTTTCGTCGTCAACATCTTCTAAATTAATAACTTAGGGTTTATATAGCATAATCTGGAGGTGACAGCAATTTAAAAGACGAAATGTAGGTACTATTAATTATGAGAAAAACATTTAAAATATAATACTATTTTCTATTGTACAAATCATATATTATTTTCAATCCTTTTCATAGAAAACATAATTCGTAAAAATTAATATATTAATAAT